TACCACACTTCTGCTTTACGCCTCAGTAGTGCCACCATGGAGAACGGCATTAAAGAGGTTCTGAAGCACTTCAAGTTTCGGTTTTTCATCCGCTTTCAGAAGATCCACTGTAATTCCATCCTCGCCCGGGGACTTGCCGTTTTTAAGGTGCTGAAGAGCCATTCTAATCTTGCTCAGACTGACGTCCAGGATATCATCGGATAAGACTTACTCTTGGATCGTTACTCACACTTGCGTGTAGCTTCAATGATGACATGTACAGTAGCCCATAGAACCTCTCAATCTCACTCAAAATTTCAGGTGTCCCGGAAACTATGGAAACACAACACACGATTTTCAGCTTTTACACGATTTTGAGCTTTCTAGCAGACAGGTCTCTGGCAAAGACTCTTCTTCAATACGAGCTGTATTGAAGTTGCGTAAGTCCCGCCGCATGTATTTGAAGATCTGTCTGTTAAGTTGCCTGTACGCTGTCAAATATGTTGAAGACTGAAGCTTCATTTCCCGTCTGATCATGTCATGAGATCATGAATCAGTCATGAGATTAAGAGTGTGATCGGATTAGGAGTGTGAGTTTTTGTGTTCTTCTGCGACGAGTCTTGTAGAACTTAGCTCCGACCGCACGACGAGCATGTCATTCATATCGTCCACTTTATTGCAGCAGTAAGTTTTCGGGACCCTGGATTAGCGCATGAGGGGGACGGAGAATTGACTTCATTAGACGAGACCTCTCCAACTTCACGTTTAGGTTCAGTGTGTCTCTAACCATTCGGTAATCGCTGCCAGTTTTCACCATCACGATCACTGAGACATCACTGAACTTGTCTGATCGTCATAATGAAGTCAACCTCAATCCAGCTGCTGGCCCCTTGGGTTATGTTGCCCTATTCCGAATTTCCTTACCTTCGACCCATCAACACCGTATAGTGGGTTTTAGAGGAATGCATGGCTCTAGAAATATCCTCATACATTTCCTGCACATCCTCATTGGGATGTGCTGAGGTTGATGCATAAACCTGTATGATATCAGGTACGCAACCCACGTCTACACACTCTCAATCTTTACAACATTGTTGCCGAGAGACTTATGGACGATAAATCCGACACCTCCTCGGGACAAATAGTCGCCCTCCCGGTGAAGGAACAAGTTGATGGATTCGAGGATTACCGTGTCCTCCCCCTCTCTTCGGACCTCGGATAATCCCATAATCCCAAGTAACTAAGTGCATTAATACTGCATTAATAAACATATACATATACTTAAGTCACTAGGGTGTCATATTGCCTACTATAGGAAATACAAGAAGAAAGATGATTTATATGAAAACATTCTTTATGTATTACATAACAGAATGTTTTTCATATACATCATCATCAACTGTTCAACCGTTACCGTTACAGGCTATTAAAGTCCACTGCTGAACACAGGCCTCCCCCATAGATTGTCTCATAGGGGGATATTTGCCACAGTTGCCACGCTTAGCAAGCGGGTTTGCAACTGCAGTTTTTTTATTTCTAGTAATTATTAAGAAGACGCTGCTGCTCATCTCCTGATTTGTTTCCCTCAGTCACCTGTTACGATACCCACGGGACGATATAGTGTAGTAGATATTCTTACACTGCCACTGCTTGGTCCAACAAGAAACACCAGAGACCAATATTAAAGGTGCCAGTCTACCAGTCTACAATCGCAAATCTGCCTGCCATAAGTGGATGGAAAAGGTCATATCCAACAGTGACAGTAAAGTTTAATAGGATACTGGTGATAGTATTTCATTCAATTCCAAATTCAAATACCACTCACAGCTATAGAAAAGGCTAATAAAGTGATGATGAAAAGTGAGATGTTAGAGTTCAAAAGCTTTTGCATTAGTCAAAATTGGCCAATTGAACATCATGACCATAGTGCATACTTGAACACAAAACTACAGTATTTTTCAAAGAAGCAATGAAAACGCAGAAGACTCTTAAGAAAAAGTCATAGAAAAGGAATGACATGGCAACGCAATAATTCTATCGATTTTTAATCAGTATCACAAAATCTTATATAGATTTAGATTAGACTTATTTAGACTTAGGAAGAGCAATTGATAAAATCAATTTCTGTTCGACTCTAAAATGGCTTGAACGATTTTGATAATTTTTTGTGTATATTTGAGTATTCCTTGATAGTTAGATTAAAAAAAAAACAAAGGTACACATGTGTTACTTAGAAAATTTAATGATTGTATTCATTCATTGCATGCATACAAAATACACACAATAGAAAAATTCCTATTGGATTTTATTGCTATGAGCTCAGGGAATTCCATGTAAGACATTATTATTTTTCCTAACTTTTATTTACAGAATCTGCTTTTTGAAATTTGACTTATAGTGTATTTTAAATATGTAAATATTGTATTAAATATGTATTGTAATAATGAAGTCGATTGATAATATACCATTCAATTATAATATCACTAGTGAAATTGTAATATCACAGCTTTGACAATACCTGCGATAGATATATCATTATTGTATGTGAGAATATTATGTAAGGGTAATAAGGAGAAATTTACTAGTGCAACATTTTCTATAAATGTCAACATCAGTTGCTAGAGTAATTACATAAATATATATGCATAGAGAGAACCTGCAATTCTACATAAATTGAGTCAATATACTTCTCTCGCTTATTCTAATTTTATTTTCCAAAAAGGCAAAAAGAGACAAATCTATTGATAGATGTTGCTTGTATTTCATGCATGTAAATAGAAATGTCAAGTGGTATCTTTGGTCTCCTTATACTATGCC